GAAAGGATTTGTAACACTATTTCCGAACGAACATCACGATTTTTCAATGTTCAGGATAACCATGTCCACAATCAGATTACCACCGACATCTACACTTGGCGACATTTTATCAGATGAAGAAGAAATCGCCATTTGGCAAGACGTTTCGTGACGGACCTATTCTGCAGCACGTGGAAGGAAGCAACTTGTCTTCTGCGCGATAGTTGGCGCTGTGCTCCGGTGGAGTTGTGGGTAAACTGCCAATATTTCGAAGGATTTAACAAAGGAATTCAGCGCGTTGTCTTGAAGCTACGAGCGCAGTGGTCATCTGGAGAGCTCAAACTATCCGATGGCATTTGATAGCAAAGATACCGCAGATGGTATCGGAATTCATATTGACTATGGAGCAAACAGTGAGCACAGAACAAGTGAGAGTGATGGTAGAACAAGATAGTTGCACAGTACCCGAAATAAGCTGCTACAATTGCGTAAAGGCGGCAGAAGCAAAGATTCAGTGCTCTTTGGCAAGTGAGATGCCAGAAGTACTCTCTGAGCAGAACTTATTCATCGTGTCACGTGCTTCTAAAGCCCCAAAATCTACTCTACGCTTCCACTTAGACCACGCTAAGCAGCTCTTAAATTGTTCAGTGTACTGCGGAGAAGTGCACCAGTCGTTTATACTGACCAGCGAACTCAAATATGTGAGGAACTGGGGCACATCAATGTTGCAAGTGATGGCGAGGAACAGCATAGCCTTTGGAGAGTTTGCAACCAGATTTCAGGCATAGGGGATGGTGTTCTTCGTTTGGTACGAGACGCTTGTAATCACGCTGTAGGAGTTGATCTGCTTGTAATGATCGCTTACTTGGGCATTCAGGGATTGGTAATAACCTCTTTTTGGGCAACCCTACGCATCTTAGTCAAGATAAGTTGCCAACCAATTAGCATGGTGGCGGAACTGGAAGGATGCTTACAAGGAACGAGGCTTCAACAGAAGTAGTACCCCCACCAGAAAACAATTTGAGGCCACAACAACGATGAGTCAACACCATCGCTAAATCACTTTCACTAGTTATGTTCTATCTAAGTTCGAATCTTGCTGTAGCCGGGAGTATCGCGGATCGCGATGCAAATGAGCAATATCTCGCATGAGAACGCGTAATGCAACGAAATGACTCCTTGACGTTAACAGACATTTCTATTGCGGATCGCTACGCGATCAAGTATTATTTTAAATGCTTGTTAGACAAAGAATTATACTAAAAAATGCTGCAGGATTAATTCTTAATGCTAGATGCGACATGCCTTCCGGAAGAAAAGATCTCAGGATACAGATAAACTGCAAAGGAAATGATGACCCCAGCAAGCAAAAGTCTATATATACTTAGTCATCGTTGATCATGCATTTTCATTGAATACATTCATTGCTCGTGTCGTCTTATTACACATATCCGCTAATCACTCGTATGTAGGACAACTCAT